ATTCAGGTGCAGACATGTACACAAATCTAGTGCCGGTGTGTTCAAGTGTCTGTGTTGTTACTATTTCAGGACTCCACCAACTTCCACTTCTGTGGAGGCTCCCTCATCAACGAGAACTGGGTGGTGACAGCTGCTCACTGCGATGTCAAGTAAGCGTCCCACACAGACATGCTTGTGGTGAGGTGATGGAACAGAAAACTGATCTCTGGGTTTGGTTTGCAGGATGACTCACAAGGTGGTCCTCGGAGAACACGACCGTTCCTCCAACGCTGAGCCCATCCAGGTGATGAAAGTCGGCGAGGTAAGTGACATTCAGCATCAGGACTTCATCCCCCAGTGAACATGCTGGTCCTAATGATGTCACTTCCTGTCAGGTATTCAAACACCCCAAGTACAACGGCTTCACCATCAACAACGACATCCTGCTCATCAAGCTGGCCAGCCCCGCCCAGCTGAACACGCGTATTTCCCCCGTGTGCGTGGCCGAGACCAGCGATTACTACCCTGGAGGCATGCTGTGTGTGACCTCCGGCTGGGGTCTGCTGAAATACAACCGTAAGAGCCACACCCAATCACAGAGCTGGGTTTGAGCCTCTCCTGGTTTCAGCTCAAGTCTTTTCACAGGGACATTTGACTGCACATTAGGTTGAAAGGCACGTCTAAATAATGTAAGAACTAAAAACAATAGCAGTAATGAACAAAAACATAATTAAAACCATTAAATATGTATATAGAATTACTGTGTGGAGGTGTAGGGAAAAACCTAACAACCTGTTTAAATGCAGAACACAAAAGCTGTAAGAATTATGGCTGGATCATTTTATCATGATATAACCAACATGTTTTTATTACACTGCAGCTTTAAAATTCTGATCTAGTAGAGGTTAATTCTGCCTTTATAAAGTATAAATAATTTAAAAATCTCCTTCCAAACTGTAAACATAAGATTTTGAAATTAAAGGAACTAACTATATAAGCATAAAAAGGTTGTTTTATGAAGTAACAGTCAGGACAAATAATAAAAACAAATCTAAATCTGTTAGAGCGATAAATGTGTGGAATAACTGTAAAGAAGAGATCAAAGTTTACTATATAATAAAAAAACATTAAATTGTGTGGTAATAAATGTAAAAATACTTAATTTTCCTTGCTATTTTTGTTTTGTCTTTTTTAATGTTTGTATCTAAAAGTAGAACTTCTTTAATTATTATTTTTAGGGAAATATTTAAGAAATGTGCTGCCACATAAAATAATAAAAAAAAAAAAAAAAAAAAATGAAGTTGCAAATAGCTCGTTATACCAAAAACTTTCATCTGTCTATATTTTGAGTTCCTGTCACAGAAAATTTTTATTTTGTTTTTTCTAATTACTATATACTGTTTTATTATTATTATTATTGATTTTTTTTTTAAAGAAAACATAAATGTTAACACCAAAAAAAGCCAATATCAAAGAGTTCTGCAGACCAGATGCTTCTTTCAGCTCCAGGAATCCGTCATAAGCTCAGAGGTGACAGGGCTTTCTCTGTTGCAGGTCCAAGCCAGTGGAATGAGTTGCCACTGCGTGTCAGGCAGGCTCCCACACTCAGTTTTTAAGTCTCGCCTAAAAACCCACTTTTATTCCCTTGCCTTTGACACAATGTGATTTGTTTTGATCCTGTCTGTATTCTACCATGTTGGCCAATTAGTTATTATCTGCTGCTATTGTATCTATATTTTTATTTTATGTTTTCCTGTCCGCTGTACTTGTTTGTTTCTTTTGTACAGCACTTTGGTTGGCCTTGTTGCTGTTTTAAGTGCTGTATAAATAAATTGGTACGGTATTGGTATAAATGTGACCACCAGTAGATGGTGCTCTTGTGTGTCCCTGTGTGTGTTAAGCTGAATGTGTGTGATGTGGTGTGTGTTGCTGCAGATGCAAACACCCCCGCCCGCCTGCAGCAGGCCACCCTGCCCCTCCTGACCAACGACGATTGCCGCCGTTACTGGGGCAGCAAGATCACCGACCTGATGATCTGCGCTGGTGCTTCCGGAGCCTCTTCCTGCATGGTGGGTGGTTCCTCCAACAAACTTCTGTCAGTCAGGTCCATGTTTGACCTCAGAGCTCTTACTGATGTGCTGGGCCCTTGACTTTATTTTCAGGGAGACTCTGGTGGTCCTCTGGTCTGTCAGAAGGATGGATCATGGACCTTGGTGGGTATTGTTTCCTGGGGCAGTGGAACCTGCAGCACCTCTTCACCAGGTGTGTACGCTCGTGTCACCAAGCTGCGTTCCTGGATGGATCAGATCCTTGCTGCCAACTGAGCACACTCAGCAGAACACCTTCGCATTCAACCTTATGTTCAATAAAACCCAGAAACTGAAACTTGTCACTGTCATCTGTGTCTACACAATTTTTTAAAAGTAGAACCATCTCTCATTGAGAAGGGATGGAGTTGTTGCCATCAAAACCTTCTCAGTGACACCCAATCTAATGCTTGATTTTACTAAATGTGTTAGCTCTCAGAGTATGTGTCATAGGTCAGTCTTATAAATAGCACCTTCTCATAGTGGATCAACCAGTTTGTTGGTGACATCCAGAACTAATTGTTCACATGATAAAGGAGGACCATCAGGCTAACTACTAATAGTTATTGCCCTGATGGCTGTTTGCTATTCACAGAGGGCTGAGTGATACTAGCAATAACAGCATTGTCAGAGAGGGACAGTTGAACATGGAGGCCCCTGTTTAATGATGGATGGGTTCACTGCTCTTCTGAGATTGTTGCAGTTCCTCAGACTGAAGAAGTCTTTTGGACAAAAAAAACGTATAAACAAACAAAAAAAAAGAATCCATCCAGAGGACCAGACTTAACCTTGTTAAATTTATCTACCTGGATTATTGAGCATGCATCAGGATATTTTGAACCACTTTGGCTAGGATCGCCTCAAAATAATTAGAGTCTCTGGGAAGAGACCCAGAGGAAGACCCAGGACACGCTGGAGGGACTATGTTTCTCAGCTGGCCTGTGAGCGCCTTAGGATTACCCCGGAGGAGCTGGCCCAAGTGACTGGGGAGAGGGAAGTCTGGGCCTCCCTACTTAGGCTGCTACCCCCGCAACTCGACCCCAGATAAGAGGAAGAAAAGGGTTGGATGGATGGATAGTTAGAGTTTGAGCAAACGGCAAGGAAGATGGCGGACTACAGGAACAACCTGAGTTTTAACTCGTTTGTGAAGAGAAACCATCCATCATTTTCAGTGGCGGCTGGTGAATTTTTGTCCTTTTTTTTTTTGTACAGTCATTTTGTTTAAAAAGCACCCAAGGACACATTACAGTAAGAAACATATCAGAAAGATTGTGTAAAAACAAACAACAAGCACAGTGCAAAGATCAACAGGAATAAATTGAAACATAAAATACATAAAGAGTATAAAATACATACAGCAAAGTTAAGGATAAGTGATTCTAAAGAGATTTGTTTTCAGAGCAGTCTTGAATATAGAAAGAGAGGTGGTGTTTCGTAAGTCAGGGGGTAGAGAGTTCCAGAGATGAGGGGCAGAGCAGGTGAAGGCCCTGCTCCCCATGGTGGAGAGGCGGGCAGATGGAGGTGGACATGGAGGTGTAATGAAGAGGAGGATCTGAGAGAGCGAGAGGGGATGGAGATGTGTAGGAGGTCAGATAGGTACGGAGGGGCAAGGTTGTGGATAGCTTTGAAAGTGAGAAGAAGAATTTTGAAGACGATGCGTGATTTAACTGGGAGCCAGTGGAGCTGCTGCAGGACTGGAGTGATGTGGTTATAGGAGGAGGTTTGAGTTATGACACGGGCAGCTGAGTTCTGGACCAATTGCAGCTTCTGAAGAGATTTGTTGGGGAGGCCATAAAGAAGGGAATTGCAGTAGTCAATCCGAGAAGTCACAAGACTGTGCACAAGGATGGCTGTGGAGCGGGGTGTGAGAGAAGGGCGGAGACGGTTATTATTTCGGAGATGGAAATAGGCAGACCGAGTGACGTTGTTAATGTGTGAAGTGAAGGAGAGAGTGGTGTCGAGGATGACACCAAGACTCTTGACCTGAGGCGAGGGGGATAGCAGAGAGTTGTTAAGGGGGATGAGAAGATGTCCTGATTTTGAAATAGAGTTTTGGGTACCAACAAGAATGATTTCTGTTTTGTTACTGTTTAGTTGTAGGAAATTGTTAGAAAACCAGTTATTTAGCTCATTGAGACAGTCGGTGAGGATGGAGGGTGGGTGGGTGGAGTTTGGTTTTGTTGACAAGAAGAGCTGTGTGTCATCAGCATAACAGTGGAAATGGATACCAAATTTGCAGAAGATGTGACCTAGAGGATGGAGGTAAATGATTACAAGGAGGGGTCCAAGGACAGAGCCTTGGGGGACACCCGTGGAGACGAGGGAAGACTGGGAACAAATGGATTTAAGCTGAATGAATTGAGTGCGGCCAGAGAGATATGATTTGAACCAGTCTAACGGAGTACCTGAGATACAAATGGAGGTTAGTCTGTTGAGGAGGACAGAATGACAGATTGGCAGAACTTAGATCCAGTAGAATGAGGATAGACAGAAGACCAGAGTCAGCAACAAGAAGAAAGTCATTAGTTATTTTTATTAGAGCTGTTTCGGTGCTATGGTGGAGGCGAAAACCAGATTAAAACTCTTCATAAATATTGTTGCTGGATAT